AGCTCAGATGTCTGTCGACAGATGAATGGATAAAGATGAATGGATAAATATATGGAATATTATGAAGCCATCAAAAAATGAACGGTTGCCATTTGCAACAACATGGATGGAACTAGAAGGTATAATGCTAAGCAAAATAAGTCAATCAGAGAAAAGCAATTATCATGTGGTCTCACTGATATGTGGAATTTAAGAAACAAAACAGAGAATCATAGGGGAAGAGAGGAAAGATAAAACAAGATGAAATCAGAGAGGGAGACAAACCATAAGAGACTCTTAATCACAGGAAACCGAGGGTTGCTGGAGGAGAGGAGGTTGGGGGATGGGGTAACTGGATGATAGACATTAAGGAGGACACATGATGTAATGAGCACTGGGCATTATGTAAGACTGATGAATCGCTGACCTCTACCTCTGAAACTAATAATACATTATATGTTAATTAATTGAAAAAAATGTTAAAATATAGATAATATAACCATTAAAAAAGTTTCAGATATGCTCAATTTCAAATAAAAAAAATGTCTACATACTTAAAAAGTCTTTCTTGGCACATCAAAATTCCATAATTAAAGAAAAGAAAAACAACTAAACAAAAACAAAACAAAAATCAACAACAAAAAGTTTTAACGAAATAACCAAATGCCAAACACATTTTAAGAAAAAGCATTCAGAACACTGAGTGTAACTTCAGATTGATAATTTCATAATTAGAATTTGAGCAATAACCTTTTTTAACCTGGATTATTACATTAGTCAATGTACCTTTTTTGCACTTCTTCCTTGGCATCATCTCTCTTGGAAGTCTTCTCCAATCTGCGTGTACAAAAGAGAAAAAAAATACAAAAATTGAAATTTACGCTAGGGATTAGTGGCACTCGACTATTTAAAGAACATGACAGGGGGCGCCTGGGTGTCTCAGTCAGTGAAGCACCTGACTTAGGTCATGATGTCAGGGTTCTGGGATAGAACCCTGAGTTGGGCTCCCTGCTCAGCAGGGAGTCTGCTTGTCCCTCTCCCTCTGCTCCTCCCCTTACTCGTATTCTTTCTCTCTCTCTCTCAAATAAATAAATACAATTTTTTTAAAAAAATAAAGGACATGACAGGGGCACCTGGGTGGCACAGTAGGTTAAACATCCAACTCTTGGTTTCAGCTTATGTCATGATCTGAGGGTCATGAGATTGAGCCCCAGATCAGGGCTTAAGATTCTCTCTTCCTCTCCCTCTATCCACCCCCTCTCAAATAAAAAAAATAAATCTTTAAAAAAAATAAAGGACATCACAGTTGCTTCTGCAATGAAAATAATTTCTTAATATCTAACTGTATAGATTAAACCTGGGAATCAAAATATAATTATAATATGTTTTCTCCTATGAAAAAGAGAAAGTTCATTAAAAAAACTTTGGGGGCGTCTGGCTGGTCAGTCAGTAAAGCATGTGACGCTGATCTTGGGGTTGTAAGTTCGAGCCCCACATTGAATGCAGAGATTATTTAAAAAAAAAACTTAAAAAAAAAACCTTTTAAGTAGTGCTATAAAATTTCTACAACATTATTTCAACAGCTACACAGTATTTATCTAATCAATTTTAAATACAGAAATTTTCATCACAAGAAAAATAATGTAAGAAAATTTTTATGAAGAGTTATTCATGATACATTGTTTGATAAAAAAAGTTTCTAAAATAATATGTATATAATCCCATTAAAAAATAAACCTAACATATAAATATCTTCATATATTTAATATTTGTGCAGAGAAACCTCTAGGTTGGGAACAAAATATTATAATAATTCTTTGTGGGTGTTAGGATTAAGTTTTCTATAGTTGATATTTTTCTTTCTTTTTTTTTTTTAAAGATTTTATTTATTTATTTGAGACAGAGAGAATGAGA